GGGACAGTTGGTGATAGAGCTCGGTGGCATTTTTCTCTTTGAAATGCGACCTCAGCACCCGCCGAAGGCTGGGAAGAGTCAACTCTGTCCTCCCCTCCAAATAGCTGCGCAGAGATGACCCTGGAACAACTGCCCTGATCACTGCCTCAACAACCTCGCTCTCAGGATAACCTTTCGTCAGGCCGCTTTCGATCTGGTGGGCAAGGCTTAAGAATGACAACCGGTCTCGTTGTCCTGGCTCCCCTATCTGCCCTGATATTTTGAACTCTCTGCGAGCTAGTGCCAACATGCTTGGTTTCGGTACCGTGGGCTTTGGTGGTTCTGGCTTTACTTCCGATTCCTTTGTCTCACTGGTCTGTTCTTGGAGCTCTGAGATGAATAACAAGATGCTTTCAAACAGGGCAAGACCTTCATCTTCTGTATCATGGATCTCATCTCCATGGAGGTGACGGTTTATGAGCCGGAGTAACTTCCGACCGTCAGCTGCTTCTCCACTGATGCCTTCCTGGCCTGGGATTTTCAGGTGCTGATAAACTCGAAGGAGTTCAGCAGGTCCCATTTCTGCAACTTGGCGGATGACCTGCTGAAACTTCACAAAGGCTGACCCCTCCATGGCGTCTGATGGGCTAATTGGCATTCCTGGGGCTGCAACCTGCCTTGCAGTATTACTGGCTCAGTCGGTCCCCCACTACTTGTGCCACTGGTCCCACACTCCTCGCTGTCTTGGTCCTGGCCTCCGCTCCCTTTCAACTTGACATCCGGGCAGGAACNCAGGCCCCTACAATTGAAAACTTTTAAATTTGGCACAGGCAGTACGTATAACATAAATTTCACACAAGAAATACTACTATTTAAGAAATTTTCGCGGGTGGAGGGGGGAGAACACGGACTTGCTTGTGCAGCCTGACTGGCCACCATCTTGTTTTATGTACATGGCAAAGAAAAATTGAGGACCCATATACACATTGCGAAAAGCCTTTCTATTAAACATCGAAGGAACATATTTTACCACTTTTACTGTTAATCTATAGACGGCATTTTCAAGGTAATAATTTAATGTTGATGCTATGTGTGTTGACTGTTGATGCCAATTACACTACATACGTGTACATGTAAACACCCCAGATATACCATGCCAGACTGAGCCTTTTGCAGCTTCAGTTAAATGGTTAGCATCATATTCTGCTTTGGCTGGTGCAGGGTTGGCAATTTTTTTATTAATAAACCAATTACAATCTGTTTTTCTTTTAATTGAATTTTTTATTTCTCAAAATAAATATGAAGATGAATTAGCATAATTGCGTATCTGTTTTCAAGGTACCGGTACATGTAAGTAAATTTGTTTCACGTGTTAATAGGCAATGTGGTTCATGTATGTGTAAATTTTCACTCAACCTTATCAGCTGTACAGCAAGCTGTCAACAATACCATCCCGACACCGTGCACTGACAAACCCATTACTTCACATTTCTGCTAGGTCAGTATAGTTGAGTTTGTGACATACCTGTATTTGCGTGCACTTCACATGCGTTCCAAATTTAGAAAAAAAAAAGGTTTAGTTTTCAGCTGATTTTGAAAACGGAAATTCAAATTCATTTGATTAGCTGTAAATGTGCATATGAGTGTAGAATATAAAAAAGCATTTGGAATCACACATCGTGGGTGACCTACATGTATGGCCCTGTAAATTGCTTCTGATTTTTGGGCTCTAGTGATTTTAACATACTTAAATGCTGAAGTGTGAATTAGAAATCTGACCAAGTCTAGAAATCACGAGAACTAATACTTTATTTTAGGCCTGGTACTTTTCAAATAGAACTTTTCTAAGAATGTGAACTGAAGAACAGCACAAAAAGTTTTACCGGGTACATTCAAACAATCCAGGATTAAGAAAGATCTGGAACTAGAAAAACGAATATCAAGTGTCATGACTTTATTTACACGGAAAGGCTATGGAATCCCATCCCCCCCAAAAAAAACAAAATTCACATTGGTTACTATTGTAACTGACAGTGACACAGACAAACCTCCATCCCAAGGACATGAAGGAGAAGCACAAATTAAAACTGACGTCACTGGCGAACGCTTGACATGCAATATTGGCATGGAACCTTAGCATGTTCGGAAGGCTGAGAATCCATACTCCGCTTAGGTTGCTCGTTTTTCGGTATTTCTACATGTACATTTTCCAGAGCAATATCTCTCTCCTATCCATCAAACTGTTTCCACGGCTCACAACATGTCACATATTTTCACCAACTCATCGATGTAAATTGTGAAACTTCTCCTGATTCATCATAAATGCAGCAACTGCCCGTATGCTCACGTACGGCGCCATGTTCACTTCGAGTACCAGTCGTCCCCACGTGCAATGGTGGTATTTCATGAATTCAAATTGTGTAAGGTATTTATTAGAGCAAAACGTAAGTTGCCACTTGAAACTCTCAACAAACCTGCAAGCTATGATTTCTGGCCCATGGTCTAGTTATGGGAAAGGACCAGTTGAAGTTTCATACAAACATGTACGTACATGTACTGTACATACATGTACATGTACAAATATACGTGTCTTTGGTATGGTTATACAATGTACGTAGAGTCTGTTTTCTTGGCTTCGTTTTTAAGGCAATACATGTACATACATGTCATACATGTGATATTTTCTTTGGAATGGCTGGATATATGTATTTCGAACGGTAAACTTAAAAGTTAAAGTTCATGAACCCAGTACAAGTACCATTTTGCATAAGGTACATGTGCTGCTTCAACTGGATAGCAATTAGAATGGTTCTCTGACATGTTTGGTATGGCCGATGAATTGGGGATAATGAGGTCCTACAAACAGTAATGCACATGTACATGTATGTACCCAAGTACATGTACATGTACATGTGCGACCAGACATGCCAGACCGAGTATACTGCTTTCTACATGTATTCCCAACGAGCCAGTAAA